CTACAGGTAGTACAGAGTAGAAGACAGGACGTAGCTTAAAGAGCTCTCTAGACTACAGTGCTATAGTTTTATAGAATCCGGGTGCTTAGGCCCGCACCTAGAATCTGCTGGCAGCTAATTAGAAAAATGCGCGCCAGCTGCCTCGCTGGCGCTATAGCCCTAACGGCCACCCGGGGGATTCCAGCCTCGCTGGGCACCTAGAAGCTGCCGGTCCGCTACTATGTCAGATAGCGCCGTGACAATCTTTTAAGAAGTAGATATCGTAGTTAAGTAAGAGAGCCTAGTAGATTACTTATTATATAGTATTAATATAGAAGAAAATAAGTTACTAAAAAAATACTATTAAAGTATTTATAAAGTAAAAAACTTATAAGTAATACTATATATAAATAGAGAGATTCTAAATAATTAGCTAAATAGCTAATTAGATTACTAAGATAGAGAGTAGTAGTTATAATAATAGTATAACGCCTATAAAGAGAGTATATAGTAAATAATACTATAGACGTTATAGCTAAATTAGATATAACTCTTTTATATACTAAGTAGAATTAGGGAATATAAAGAATAGTAACGCATCTAAAGAATAATATTTATTCTACTTAATAAGAGAAATTATAGTAGTGTTACGTAATATTATTACAAAGGTAGGGTGTGGTGGTAGAGCTAACGACTTAGTAGAGTTAACGACTTAGTAGTAAAATACATTATAAATATTATAATAATTAAAGTATCTAAATTAAAACTTAATTTAGATACTATTTTATAGCTTTAAGAGAATATAGTCTATATTAAAAAGATCTTAAATACTAAATATGTAACTATTTAGTAAAGAGAGTTTATAGTAAGAGTTTAGTTAAAGAAGAGTAAAGAGTAGATAAACAGAGTACTTTAGTTTTATAGTAAACTACTTAGTATTTAATAGAATAAAGATAAAACTAGTATTATAAATATATTACTTATATTAATACTAATAGTATATAATATTATTAATTAGAAGAGTAGAGAATAGATAGTTACGCGTAGTTACTACTTACTAGTTATAATTAATCTTAGAATTCTTTTCTCTTAGAAACTCTACTTAGAAAGGCTAGAGCTAATTTTCTATACTATAACTTAGAGTGTAATCTCTTTATTTCTATATTCTTTTATAATAGTACTAGCTAATACTCTTAAAGAATTTTTAACTATATATATAGTTCATATTTAATATTATAACTTTTAGCTAAATACTCAATTAATAGTTAATCTTAACGTAGGTAAGAAGGTTATAATAGGTTTAAGTTTATACTTAATACTAAAGCATGATAAATAAGTTAGCTTATTTGAATACTAACTATATTTCTATAATTATTATAGATAGTTAATATATTTTACTTTAATTATATTTATTAATATGAGTATCTAAATTGTTAAAGGCGCCTTTCTTAAGACTTGATAGAATATAATATCTACCCCTTCTAACAGCTGTAGTGAGAATGATTAAAAGAGAGTACTTCTTTATTACTTAGTATGTAGAACTTCTTAGTTTGGGTTATTTTGGTAGAATAGGTGGATAGCGAAGCCGTGTGTGCTTGATTAGGACATCCTGTCGATTAAAGCTCCCTTTATATACGTTGTAAGGGAAAGCTTTAGCTATCTTCTGATGTTTGTGTCTCTTATGTGTTTCTGGGTTTCCTTTTGCGTATCTTCTAGTAAAAACATAGTAATAAAAGTTGCATGAAAACTTTGGCGGATTCGATTTAACCTCCTGCTTTAGTAGAGAGGCGGAGGTAGAGCATGTATCAAGAGGCTGAGTAGCTCGAGAGTTGAACATAGGTTTTGGAAATCCTCTATAGTTCTGTGGTCGATTGCTGCTCTTTAGTTCGAAAGAACCTGCTGGTTTTGTGTACCTGAGGTGATTGGAGGGACTTATGTCGCCATGAGAAGATGTCCTCCTTTGGGCCATATGTATGATACAGGAGGCTGGCCTAGCCCACTGGAAATGGGTGATAGAGTCTAGTAGTAATATTGATAAAATGGGGATTGGAATTACGCGTGCCCCTCACTTACGCTTTGTGGCTCTGTGTCCGGTACTCTTTCCTTAGAGTTTGACTTAGTAATGGGTTGGTAGGGCGTAAGGTAAGGTGTAACTACGTCTTGGTTATGCAGTATAAAATGATCGGCAGGGGGCTCTGCTGCAGCGCGGTTTGATACTGATAGTGCTGCGGATCTGGCATTGGATCTCGGTAGGATGGAGTCGCTTTCATTCCCCGCTTAGGTGGCCATGTTAATATCGTCTCTGTAGGCTATAGACAGAAGAGAGGACGTACATTTAGGGTCATGTTTTGAAGACATTTCTGCCTCCACTTGGCGGTACAGCAGTTCCTATTGCACTTGCGCGAGGCAGGGCATAACATACGCATATATAAACGAGTAGAAGCGATAGATTCTAAATAGAATAGCTGTTAGGATATTCTAAACCAAAAGGCCGACCCTTTGGGACCCATCGGGCACCTCTTAGAACGGTACAGCCTCTATCACGTGTATAGAAGTATATAACCTTCACCGAACCTAAGGAAACTCCTTAAGGATTCGTCGTAAGTCTATTCTTCTATATATTGTGCCTATACGCGAAACACCACACAATAGCCTACTACAATATCTATTTATCACTACAATTGAGTTGAAGTGGTCTGTAATAATGGTGATATTTGATGGGGTCTTGGCACGTCCGGACACTCGCCTACCCGAGACGTTAGAGGCTCTCTGTACGTGGGCGGGCGTTGTGTTGTAAAGATGATAGGTTTTCACTTAGAGTGCGAGACTTTTAAGTTAGTACCGTAGCATGGTGGGCTTACATTCCGTTAGTTTACTAACTATCTATAGTCTATCCCCTCACACCTTAAAAAGTATCAAAGGCATCAACAGATTGATAAAAGCTTGCTGTTAAACTGCTCTACTATAAGCACATCTAAAACGGCTGTTTACATGGCGGGAAAGCAGATCATGTCTCCCTGTTGAATTGAATCATGCCCCTCTCCTGACCCCTAGAGATTGCTCTTTTGTCTCGTTTCTTTACAGCATTCTGTTAGCGCCGTCTGGATAGCCGACTTGATATCTTCCACGTCCTCGAGCCCAACACTGATCCGTATAATATGTTCAGGCAGACCATAGGTAGCAACTCGGTCCCTATTGTAATAGTGAACGAGCAGCGTAAACGGCACTGCAATGGTGAAATTAGTGCCAAAGCTAGATCCCTTGGGCACATTAAGCACATCGTAAAACCGGCGGGCAATCTCCTCATCATAGAAAATTATGCTCATAACATTGCCATATCCGCCGCCTTTGCGCATGAGGCTGCGGTAAACAGGTAGCGACTTGCTAAAGTATGGATAGTACAGCCGCTTGATGAGTGGATGGTCGTAGAGCATTTCAGCAACAGCGAGAGCATTCTGGTTACATCTTTGGGCACGCCACTGCACATGTTTGCTGTTGTGTTTCAAAACCTTTGTGTCTAAGGGAAAGACGAAGTCCGACTGATATGGAGCTTGCAATGCCTTTTGGACGGTGTTGTAGTGCCGTGACGCCGGGTTAACAATGACACTAGATTTTGTCACTCCACAGTTCCAATAATGGCATTCTGATTATCAGGTTGACTCACCTCCCCCCTGTGACATTAGACGCACCGCTGAACATTTTAGTCAAGCTGGTTAGCATGACGTCCACGTACGGCATAAGATCCAGGTTGACAAAGCCAGCTACTGTATCATCGCAGGCAAGTATGAAATCATATTCGTCTGCGAGACTTCGTAAACGTTGCAGGGGAACAGACGACAAGAATACGTTACTAGGCAATTCGCAGAACAATGCACCAATGCGCTCCCCGGTTTTCAGACGACGTATAAAGTCATCTAGATCCTGTTCTGTTCCTCGCTTATATCCGATGAATTTGTCCCAGGGGCCGTGCTTTAGATTATAGATTGTCTCGTCATATATCCATCTGAATTTTCATTAGGACAGCGTTGGCCATGTTGGTATGGAGGCCAAACGTACCCAAATGCAACCACCGTAGACGTCGTTGCCACTGCACACAGGGCTTGGGAAGTGTGATAGATGGCGCTCATTCCGGTTGGATACAAAGTTACATGGTCTGCAGTAACCACAGGGAGGGAAGAATTCTCAGAAGTAGATAGACGAGCGATTGTTGATTTGACGTGCATGGCTGTTGGGACAATATCGTGTATCCAGGTCGGAGTCGATAATGTAGTCATAGGTCGTAGTGGCCGAATCTTTGTCTTTTGGTTACTGGATGTAGCTTCCAGGTAATCTATGTAATCTTTTGCGAAGACTGCATGTCTTGTTGTCAATCCTCCTCCAACGTTCACCCAGAACATCATCGCCGGGTGCTTGGCCTCTAATGGGAATACAGCCATTGAAAAGCTTGCGATATTTAGGACCTGGATTACATTGGCATCGCAATCTCTAGGGCTGTGAAACTGTACAATGTCAACAACGACTTGTGGTTTCTCCTTTGCGATGTGCTGTGCGCAATCCCGAGCGAAACTTGCGTTAGGAAACAGAAGGCATGCAACGTTTTCGTTTGTTTCAATGTTGAGCTTCTTTAACGCTGTGTTTGAAAGTTCTCGAATTGGTCGATTCATAAAGAATCTAGCAATTAGCCCTCGGTTAGCTACATCATAGCAAAATGGGTTTTCGTGATACGCGGTGCCTTATAAGTACCTTGGATAACACCACTCTATGTGCTCGTTTTTCCATTCTTCAGGTTGTTCAAAATATTGGATTGTAGAATTCCAAGTGGGCAATGAGATACTGACACCCTATGAAAGAAGCAAATTACTAGATATCCCAGAAAACATATTCGGGACAGGAACCTACATGTTGAGAATCAGGGGGATATACATATGCTGTGCCAAAAGGTTGCTGCTTGAGTCTGCTTGGGGGGAGAAGAGCTAAACCACCTGGAACTTGAGTCGATGTCATTTGCGAAGAGAGTGACTCTGGTGGTGAGGGAATTGTAATCTTGGACACAGACTTAACAAGATGGAAGTTTATTTAAGTTCTTAAGACTTTTTCTTGTAACTAAGTTTGAAATGAACACTTCCTAATGTTACTTATAACGGAAGATTGTCTAGAATAAGCGGATATCCAGGAGAGAATAGTACTCGGGATAGAAGAGTATTGAGTATAGTATAGTAAGTAGGGTCTCTACTTTAAGATTGTTTTTTCTTACTATCTCTACTAATACTAACCTAGATAGGAAGCTTGTTCTTTAGGCCTATTTAGTATCGTGTTTTACGTCTCTATCTTATATTTTGCTAACTAGATTTAGACTCCATTTTAAAACGGGCCTTAAAACGCTTAACTATTCGGCTAGCCGCGCGTTTTTAATCATAAAACAGAGATCTATTTTATTAACACTCTTATACTAAGATAAGCTATATCTAGGACTTCTTTATAATATATTTTTTTCTCTTTATAGAAAACAGAGGTCTATTGTCTAGATGTTAGTCTATAGCTCTAGCTATAATTTTACATACTATTTTAGTAAACTATAAGCTTTCTACTTACATATATAATATAGCCATTATAATAAAATAAACCTTTAGCTAAATAGCTTGTCTGTGTTTTATCCTAATATAGATAAGCTTAACTATAAAGCTACCTAAAACTACTAATACTAATATAAACCTAGGTAGATATTAAAAACGTAGCTATAAATTATAGTACTTGATAGACTCTTAAACTTGTTAATTATAATTTCTTTTTTCATATAATAATATAGTATAGATTTATGGATAGAAAGAGTAGATATATATATATATAAGCTCTATTATTGTAGACTATAGATAGACTCTTATGATGCATAGTATAGAAGTAGAGAATAGTAGATAGAATATAGCTCTTTAAGTTATACAAGTAAAGTTATAATAGTTTTATAAAATCTAGATACTATAAGCTTATACTAAGATTTTGTTAATAATTGATTGGAATAGCTATATACTAGCTATCTAGCTGTGTACTTTAGCTCTTTTAGCTATCTTAAGAATTATATTCTTCTATGTTTGGAAACTACTAATCTACTACTATACTAATTAGTACTCTAATAACCTTATTCAGTATAGCTAGATATATAATTTAAATAGCTAAGGTCTATATATTTCTTATTATCTAATTTATACTTATCACTAATATTAGTTTTTTGCTATACAATACTTCGTATTATCATTTCTTTATATTAATTAGCTTAATTTAGATAAGTAGACTTATGTAATAAGTATTTATAATAAATGATATTAGTAAATACATAACTTCTCTTTCTACTAGATGGAGTATCTAGCTACTAAGTAGTAGAAAGTAGAACATTATAACGGGCCGAACGTTCTTTATATAGCTTCTTAAGGGCCTGTTCGGTTGCGCGGTTGCGTTTTGCGTTTTTGTTACTAGATTTAGGCTAGGTTTTTGAAGACGATACTATGCTCGGTAAAGCGCAACCTAAATCTAGCAATAAAAACGTAAAACGCAAAACGCAACCGCGCAACCGCGCAACCGAACAAGCCCTAATAGAATCTCTATCTACTTACAGAATTCGGGTACTACTTAGAGTATCCGGATTCTTCCTGTATTACCCGAATAACGTTCAGACGATAGATTCTATCGGCCCGATAGTTGCTCAGATAACTAGGATTGTACTCTGTACAAGCACACCACTCCACTGCATCGCCAGACAAATCTCACGGAGCTATTCACGTTATCCTACCCGCCCTAACCCGGATCGAGCTTAGAGAAGTATCAGCACCCAACCCCGTGTGACATCCCTGATGTAGAGACTTACTTAAACCACCACATTGATTATACCTAGTTGTGATCCCTGCCGTACCCCTGTCAATGCTTTCGGACGCGGCTGATTACAGTATCTCGGTAAGTACTGTGTACGTTCTTCTCACCGCTGACCTAAGGGGCTTTTTTGTCGTTTATATCACACGTTGTGTATGGATATAAATATCGCACTCGCGACGGCATACTAAGGACATTCAGAAACATCCTTTCATGCTTTAAAATTATTTCAAATTCAAATCTAAGCCCCTTCTACCAACTAATGATCAATCCTATTTTGGCTCGATCGAAAATGCCCGCCCCACCCCGCATCCAGGTCAGTGACCTAACATTCACGTTCCCTGGCTATCCTACAGGAGTTCACTCCGTCACGCTCGACCTCCCTCCTCGATCACGCACCCTGCTTATTGGGGCTAATGGTTCTGGCAAAACTACCCTCCTAAAGCTTCTCTCAGGGACACGACTCCCCCCAGCAGGAACCATCCGTATCTGTGGCATAGATCCCTTCCAAGAGTCCCTCGCAGGCGTGACGTACCTTGGTCTTGAATGGGCCACTAATCCTATTGTCCGTCACGACATCGAGGTGATGGAACTACTCCGCTCGGTAGGCGGGAATGACTATCCTGAGAGAAGAGATGCGCTCGTCACTATGCTCGATATTGATACAAATTGGCGATTGCATGCAGTCTCAGATGGTGAGCGACGCCGCGTACAGCTCGCAATGGGACTGCTGAGACCGTGGACGATATTGTTTCTCGACGAAATCACTGTTGATTTGGATGTCCTAAGTCGCGCTGAGTTTTTAGGCTGGCTGAAGCGTGAGACAGAAGAGAGAGAGTGTACAGTTGTTTATGCCACGCACATTCTGGACAACCTTGCGGGATGGCCGTCGCACCTGGTACACATGAGCCTAGGCTCAGTCAAGCAATGGGGCGAGACAGAGAGGATCCTGCCGAGCTATGATGGCATAGTGGCACAAACAGGAAATAGTCGATTGGGCGAAATGGCCATAGGGTGGTTAAAGGAGGACGTTAAGAAGAGAGGTCCTCGAAACCATACTTACAGTTCGTTAACATAGGTATTGGGCCACTGTATCACAGCTTATAATTAAGAAAAAAGCTAAAATACTTTTCTAAGCGTGTTTAAAGAGAAACTTCGTGGAATTGAATGAGAAAAAGCCTCAATCCTTACTATGTCTATTTGGAGAGCTGGTTCCTAATTGAAACTTAGATCCCGCCTTATTATTAGACGGTGCGCCTGGACTTATGCGAGCTTCAGTGTAATACGTCTAGTGTGGTAAGTAGTCTCCATGTCAGGATTGTTTTTCGTAATCATCTCCGCCAATACCAGCCTAAATAGAGAGCTTATTCTCAAGCTCATTAATCGTACCATATGTCACTGATGTTGTTACAAGTAACAAGGATCTTCTCCTTGACAAGTGATGAGACGGCTGAAGGCCTATAGACGTCCACGTCAGAATGATGATTATTGCGGGGCTTAAGGTCACGTAATGTGCCATGCTGCCAAGGCTGGCTATCCAGGATGGCAGTGCATAAAAATATAGATTAGTGTTTGTCAAAACCTCTGGTTACATATATAATTTCTTGCTACTACAAATCGCTAGACAACCCTTACGGAGCTAGTTATCTATTCCTACTCGCTCTAACCTGGATCGAGCTTAGAGGAGTATTAGCACCTAACCCCGTGTAATGCTGGAGCTGAATAGTATATACGTGTGATTAGTGTAGTAAGTCGGGTCTCCACCTCGGATCGTTTTTCTTTATTTACTCTGCGAATAATTACCTAAGTTAGACATTTAGTAGCCTATTTTATAGCCCTAAGTTAGTAATTTATTTTTACCTAATATAGTAATAGGCTAACTCTATTAAGTAAGAAGATATTTAGTAACTTGTCGTGCTAAGAGTCGGGTCTCTATATTTTACTCTAATCTTCGATACTAGCTTATCTATTAGAGTTAGCCTACTACTATATCAGGTAAAAATAAATTACTAACTTAGGGCTATAAATTGAGCTACTAAACTTCCTTATTAGGTAATTATTAGTCGAGATAATCGTAATTTTAAGATCCTGATGTAGAGACCCGTTTGCCAGCCTACTGTTACAAGTAACAAGAAGGATTCTTTCCTTAATAAGAAACGAGACGGTCAAAGACCTATAAACGCCCACGTTAGAAGATAACAATTATTACGGGGCTTAGAGTTACGTAATATACTATCCTACTAAGACTAACTATTGTACTAAGTATAGAATAGTGTTACGACCAGCCTTAGAATGTGGAGGACACTTCGCCGTTACGTTTATTTAACGAGTAATTCATGAGAAGGCAGAAAGACCACAGGAAACAGAGACACTTATTTAGGACTAGTGTATCACGTGATCTACACGATGCTTAGTAATTAGTATGTCTTAACTAGCACTACTAAGCAACTAAGCACTCTGCATATCAACCTGTAAGTTGCTTAGTAATTAGTACTTCTTAGTAGTACTTATAACGGCTCAGCACCCGTTCTTACATACATCCGAACAGGATCCGAACTAGGGTACGATTCGGCCTAGTGGGAAAAACGACTATATAAACCCAACCTCTATAATAGCTTATTAGGTAGATTTTTGATATCCTTTCGTACAAGGCCTATAGGTGTCTATTTAAATTAAGGCTTGTTCGATGTCCCACGCACTCCCATATGCCTCTGAGTGAC